GAAAAAAATATCATGGAATTTATAGTTGTTAATAAAAACTCAGGATTACCACAGAGAGAAACAGCACTCACTCAGAATTCTGAAACAGCAGTAGTATAAGCTCTTTAAAACCTCATTTTCAGGAAAAGCTGACAGAATTTAAATGTTCGAGGTTGCAGTGGTGAGTCTACATATGCAATTTTTACATCCTGGTGACCGCTGAAACTCATTGTTTAAAAATTAACTGCCTGGTGGTGTTGGAGGCTGCTACTGAGGGGCAAGACTTGCTTCACAAAACACCCATCGCAGCATTTGGTGAATTCTGAGCTGAGATTTACGTGAGAAGTGCTACATGCTAAACATGCAACCGTGCAGTGGCAGATATCGCTACTTTGTTTTGTTTGTTGTTGTAGCAAAAACGTAAAGATTGCGTGTCCAACTGTTTCCATGTAGTGAATTAGAATGGCAAATTTTGAACATGTTTATAAAAATAAAAAAGCAGCAATTTTATATATACCTGGTGAGCACTCAACCAAAAGTTATGGATCTTTCCCCATTCATTAAGATAGGAGCTTCGAATAACTGTCAAGATGGCTACAGCACCAAAATTGTGTCTCAGGCTGCTGCTGAGCTTAAACAATCTACATAATTTCCCCAGGCCTGAATGGAAAATATCATTAGGTCAAGGAAAGATCAAGGTGAATTGATAAAGAAAAATAGAAGCAACACAAAAACTGAATTGGGTGAAGCTTTTACACAGCTCACGATAATTATTTTAACATGATTCAATCCTGATATATAAAGCCTTTTTAAAATCTATATACGCTAGGGCTGTTGGATATAACGATATATATCGGATGACGATATAAAAACATCTATCGTTTCATTTTGGTGCGGTGTTGCAAAATAAACTGTTTACGGCAATATTTTTTCATCGTTCTGATGGTCACTGTAGTGGCTATATTAATTTCTTAAAGTTCTCTCTTTCTCTTATATTTTATATAACCACACTACTGACGAGCAAGCGCCTGTTTTTATGCGTTGTCGTTAGCAACAGCGACGATAACATCTTCGCGTGTCCACTTGTTTATAATCCACATAAACCTTTCACAATAAAGCTCAAGATCCTGTTGAAACTTTTCAAAATAAACTGAATCACGTGAAAGAGCAGATTATTTACGGATGATAAGTAAAAAAGAGCCGCCAGGTGCTAAAAAATAAACCTTAGACTCAAACGTTAGAACAGGCACGCCGTGTAATAAATACAAAGAAAACGGCGGCCGTTACAACTTATGTCTAAAAATGTATAGTTTCATGCATCGGTTAAAACACTCGACTCCGGGTAAAGGACGCGCAGCTGGAAACATTTCACGCAAGTCGAGCTGCCCGAGATTCACAGAACTTACAGAAAATGTTTTTTGTGATTTATATCGTTATCAGGACGATAGAATTCTTATATCGGGATATGAGATTTTGGTCATATCGCACAGCCCTAATATATGTTCTTAAGGCAGCAACTAATGGATGAGAAGCGAGTTTTATCATAGCAGTGTGATGTTTGTAGTTCACCTGCTGGTTTAAGAGTCTCTTAGTTAGGAACAAATTAGCACGATATGACACGAAATGGAAAACACTTTTCTAATTAACGTTTTATAGTATCTGCACCAGGTGACACTCCTGTTGATTGTTTTCATCAAAGTTCTCATTGGGGGATGGTGTTGTCTCCTTTCTTTTCATAAAGGAAGTTTCAGTGTATCCTATTCTAAAAGGTGGCAAGAGAAGACATGAGAAGGAAGCACTTTGGAAATTTGTGGAGTACTAAGACTCTTCAAAAAGCACTTACTATGGCTGCCACCTGGATACTTATGGGTCATTTCACTCTGAATTTTGATTAGGAATGCTACTAGTTGCCAGCACCCTTTGCTTTCATTTATGGTTTGGCAAATTTCAAATAACCCGCTGAAATTTGCATCTCTGAAGTCCCAGATCAGAATCTGTTTCTTAAAGTGTTTAATTACCTTTTAAGGCCCATTAATCACATCAATCACTATATATGGCTTTGTGTCGTTTTTAGTGGTACTCCTCTGTTACCATGATGCAACCGTCTGGCTTTATGAATTTGATAAATCTGCTGTGATGTCACAGTTTCCTATTAAAACCATCACATGGCTCCTAATTATTATGGCTGTTCAGTCTGGAAACAACAGAAAACTACGACTGTGTGTGTCCTGCTCAAAAGGACACCGCTCTCTTCCATTCCAGAAAAAAACCTGCTGAATGACACCACCTGGGGGTGTCAGGTGGTCATCACCATAGAAACCAACAGTTGCTATTGCTATAGTAACTTTGAGTGGCCACAGGAAAACTGGGGTAAAGGTGAAAGATCAAATATGGATTGCAGTTTCACAGAATGACTCGGTAGTGCAGCCCTTTAAAGTCATTTTGCACACCTTCAGGGACAATTTTACAACTTTGTGATGGATTTTAGCAGCTTTTAAAGCACAAAACTTTTATTAATGTGGGCATTTGCTGTATAAAACAATAGCCACACAAAGAAATGACAAAAAAGTTAATGATCCCTGCTGTGTGCAATCAGTATGTTGTAGACCTCTGAAATCATTCACTTGGAGTTTTGGGCTTGTGTGCAGTAAAAATCTGACCTGGCAGAAAACTGGCGTGTGGGTGTCAGCCAAGGCACTGCGGAGGTCTTGGGCTGTCAGCAGGCTCTGAGGCAGGCGGTCCACGCACAGGCATTTGGAGTGCAGCAGTGGATATGTGAGGGAGCCCACCTCAGTCCAGTGGACGTAAAGCATACGGGAGCCCAGCTGCTTTCCCAGGAGCTCTGACTTGGCCCTGGCCGCAGAGTCCTTCTTCATGTACTCCACAAAACCGTAGCCCTTGGAATGCCCCGAGGTGGCACTGTACACCAGGAAGCAACGCTCCAGGTTGCCGAAGGGGCGCACCAGTTCCTCAAACTGCTGCTGCGTGAACGCGCGGGGCAGGTTGGCGATGCACAGCAGAGCATCTGTCGGCTGCAGCTGCACAGAGATCTCCCGGTCCCGCAACACATGCTGGTGGAACTCTTTGATGGCACTTTGTGCTTGTTCACCATTAAGTAGGGTCACAAATGCTTTGAGTAACACGGGACAGGAAACAGAAGAGAGAAACAAATTGGTGTAAGGCAAGGGAATGATATTGTTCAGGTGGCATAAAGTCAGATTTATTTGTACTCAGCAGGTGTCAGGGAGCAAACTCTGCCTGTGACGTTTTTGCCTCTAGCAAGGCTGTTAAAACACAGTTCTGGTGGCAAAATATCAGCGCACAGGATCCTTTGTGTTGGTGTAACTTTACCCCTCGTTTAAACTACAATGCCTGTCAGCCCAGCAACAATGAAATCAACATCTTGTTACCCATGTTATGAAAAAGAAACCGAAGGCGTGAAAAAGTTTTCCAGTTTTGTCTGAAAGGCATGAGGGAAAAAAAAAAAAAAGCCATCTAAATGTCACTGGTTTTCTTCAATAGCAGCTTGCTGGATACCAGGCATACCCTGAAAATACCATCTGGCTCCCACAATTTTCTGGCCTATTATCATGATCGTCACCCATTTTCTAGTGAAATATTACTGCAGGAATGCATAGATATTTAATTAATTTATATTCTAATCTGATATTTTACATTTTATACATTTAAAAACAAGCAACTCTAGCTGGACATGGTGGCAGATTACACCGAGGGGCATGTGAGGTAACGCATACACGGGGAGCCCGTCGATCTTATCGCACTTGAACTGACAACAATGTAACGTGAGAGATCTGCAACTGTGTGATAATGATAAGTGTAAGAGAAGGCACACCATGAAAACAAAGTCTTTGATTGAGGTCTGGCTGCTTTCTCCCGAACCCCTTTTCATGTTCAGTATGTCCATTGAAAGTCATTAACTAAGCATGCTCCAAATCTGGAGAGCCCGATTTACTTTTGTTTGCTACAGAGTTCACTGTCAGATTAAATTTTAAAAGGGGTGTAATAGAGCAGTTGCATCCTGATCCCCACCTCCTCCAACTTGCAGACGCCAAACTTGCCAAATTGCCTTGCTCAGCCCAACATGGCTGAGCAGTTAGACCTACCTGTGCCTTTGTACTTGTCAACAAAGCAGTACTTCAGATCATAGCTGCCCAAGAGCTCATGGACCTCCTGTAAAAAGAAAGAGACAATGATTAACTGCAGATGTTTAAATACATAAATAATATTTGACTTTAGGAGGTCGTTGGTTAATTGAAGATTTCAATCAACCCCCTCTCAGCCAATTAGCTCGTTGATATACACTGGAGGTGGGGGGGGAAAATCAGTGCACCTGCTGGGGGGGGATGAGAGGTGAATGACTCCCTCATTGTTGTAGGAAAAATTGTTCTGCCCAGCTTTTGCCTATTCACACAAATGGCGATGCTGCCTAGCATTTTCTGAAACGTTTTGTCCCCACGCCTTCCACCTTTTGTTATAGGGAAACTCACATCTCGAACTCCCACTACTGCCCCAGCCCCCCCTCTGTGAACAATGGTACCGCCCGCAGGCCCACCGCTCCCCACGAGTCAGGCACGTTCCAAAAAAGAAAAAAAAAGAAGTAGCATCAAGAGTTAATTACAGGCAGAGTTAATAACAAATGGACTTATGAACCACCTTCACTGCATATGTAACCCGCATATACCGGTTATGAACCACAGTTCGGCTCGGCGGGCCAAATGGTAAAATTCAACCACGAATGCAAAGCGGCCTGGTGGGTCACACAGGCCACAAATGACCATGATTGATTATTTGACCACTTGTCAGTACACGCGAGCCATGTTAGTTAACCAACATAAACTCAAACCAGTTATAGAACTGTTTGCATCGTTTTTAATTACCAATAATCTGTGCGTTTTGGCTTTTAAACCACTAGCAGATGTAGTACACCGAAAACTAAATAAAAGGTGAAGCTAATAAGTTAAATGCCTGTGAAGCTAACATTGATAGCATGGCAGGTTTAACGGAGCTAGGCTAGCGTTAGCCACAGGGTAGCATCAATCAACCAACCGACCGACCGACCAACAATTAAACCCTCACCCCCTAAATCTTTCTACTCATACCTGATTGCTAACGTCAGAGGGCAAGTTTTTTATAATAATTTTCCTCCTGTTGTAAAACTCCCGTCGAGTTCTCTCCAAGCGGCTCTCGATCTCTTCGGGGCTCAGTGATGTCAAGTCCTCGTCGACCTTTCGCTGACACTCGCGTCCGGGCGTCGCGTCCTCTTCGTTCTGCACGAGTTCGGGGTACCGGCGATCCCCGGGAATCCAGTTTTCTTGGTCCACGGCGGGGTCGTATTTTTCATTAAGCGGACGAGAAGCCAAACTGTTTCCCGAGTCTGTGTTTTCATCTTTGGCAGCTGTATTAACTGACACTGCGGCCGCCATGACTCGGTGCTGGAAGTTTTTTCGGTCTGAAAACTCTGGCTGATTTGAGCAGTTTAAACAATACACACATGGCCCCAGCGCTGCTTCTGATTGGACGACAGGGGAACGCATTCTCCATGACTACAACGTAAATCGGAAGGGTGGGGGTGGAGCAACGAGTGTCCCTGCTCCTCAGCATGAGGTGCATAACGGATGTTTTTTGGTAATTGATCTAATTAAAATGTAGTATTAAATATCTAGATTTTAAAAAGACAACAGACAATTATAAACAGCACAATAAAAATGCATGTCTAATTTATTTAAGAGTCTAATTTATGCATGTACATTTTCTCAAAAATGTCCCAACAAAATATGTCTGAAAGATAAACTAGTGAAATATGGTTTATAATTTAAATATGCTCATTTTAGTTAGAATTACCAGTTCATAAAGCAAGGAGGCTTGAGAATATGTCCACATGATTGTAAGGTACTTGGCTTTACAAAGTGTCTCAAATAACAAATAACAAAAGGGAAACAAAAACTAATACTGAAATAAATAAAAAGTCAAACTTGACACTTGAAACAACAAAAGCTGAACTGAGACAAACAAATCCACACTGGAAACTGAAATATAACAAAACTGAAAACAAAAGCATTAAAATTCAAACAAAAAATAAAAATCTGTAACTGTTTTATTCTTGAAAATCATTGTGGTTGGTTTGTTTACTTAAATTCCATTATCTTCGTAATAGGCTATTGTTAGTTTGTTGATTAATTATGTATTCTTTTATGAATACCACTCTTTAAAAACTCAGCAGTTAATTTTTGACACATGGTAATTTATTCAGACTTTTCTACCACGAACAAAGCATTCATAAAGCCCTTTTCAGCTATGCAGAAAGTGTATAGGAAAACAGCATTTTTTCGCAGTAGATATAGAGAAGAAGATACAGGTTTTGTTTTGGTCATTTGAATTTGGTCTCTAGTATAGGCTGCGTCAGCTGAGAATATATCCAACACTGTTAATGATGGATAAAGGGAATCAGTTTCATTTGGCCACGAAAAATGCCTGTGCCTCCAGGGGGCTTCACAGTCCAGACAAGCACCAGAAGGCCCAATCATGTCATGTCCAGAAGTCAGCAGTGGAGTTTCTCTCCAAGATTATGAGTCAGAACAATATGCTTCACTATTCAGCATTTTTCTATGTTCCCAAGGGGAACAGCAGTAGTATTTAAGCATTTGGTGACTCAGCTGGTGGTGGTATCACTCTGGACTAATGCTTAGCACTAGACATGCCTCATGGTAGATTCCTCATTCTCCATTAGCCTGCAGTCCTTGCAGTACTTTCCTTCAAATACATGTTGAGAGCTCTCAGCAGGAAAAGCTCCCATTTAAGCAGACACGTCTGATGTTGACAGTTTGTAATACACATAACTGTGGCAGGACAGATGTCTTGGAACTCGTGCTTCAGCTTCCACTTGCTGTATGTGTCTTACTCAAAGCGTATGCAGAACAGAAACACGAACACCTGCTGAATATAAATAAATGCTGAATTTGGCAGATTCTTCTTTTTCAGTTCTACGCTTTAGGCAATGAGAGGCAAATTTTTATTTGTATTGTATATGTCGCACATAAAGGCAGTTAAAAGTGATTTGCACAATGCAATGAAACAACAGACCATATAAAAACAGCATAATAATAATAATAAAATGCAAATTAAAAGAATATAACCCTATTTAAATGCAAAACACAAGAACGTAAAATAAAATAACTCCACACCAGTTCAATAAAAGCGAGTGTAAATCAGAACTTATAGCATGAGTAAAAGTGTCATCATTACTTTAAAGCTGCGGCCTCAGTTGGAGCAAAGCTCAGAGTGAAACTTGCAGAATTTTAGCAGCGAGAAGCATAAAGGCTAAAAGACATTTCACCATGTTTAGTCTGAACTCTGTACACCACAAGTTGACCAGTTCCTGCAGATCTAACACTCTGATATGACCCTGAGTTAAAGTGCGTATTCAGCTGAAAGCAAGTACTATGATCTAAGAATTGAAGTAATACCTTTTTTCTCTCATCTTGGGGTTTGTCAGTAGCAACAGCTTTTTCAACTGCATATGTTTAACGTCTCATGGTCTTATCGTGGAGGTCAGTAATTATCACTGCTTTACTGCAAGACAAAAAGCATGAATGGGCTTTTCTAAATGTTGCTTCGGCATAACAGTGTCCAAATTCAGCTATGATTTAAATGCCAGAATTATGATTTAGCTATGGTTTTCATCTGTCCAGTTAAATTTACATCATCAGTGCATCAGAGGAGGTCCTTTCAGATTCATAATTGGATAGACTATCTACACATCCCCACTTTACTGTGATCTAAGCCATGTGGGTCCTGTTTCAGCTAGACAAACAATTTTCCAGC